CTGTTCCCCTGGTGAGCTGCACGGTGCCCTCTCGCCCCCTGCAGTGGCATGTGGCTGCCATCATCTGAAAGAGAACCACAGAACGGGTCGTGGCTGACTTAAATCATTCCGCTCTCCCTCTCACGAGGCTGCTTGTGAATCCTCAAGGAGACAGTATAGGCTTGGGAAAGCCTAGACAACTGTACCCACACAGGGCTCATTTTGCAATTATTTACTTGTATCCTCTGAATAGAGGGGCCCCTACCCCCAGCTCTGCCTTTGGGAAAGGCCACAAAGAGGTGGGAAGGTGCAGTGAGGGTAGACTCATGTCGAGCTGTCTGGAGCGGACGCGTTTGGGTGCTGCGGGGACAGGATGCCCCAGAGATGGCTGGACTCCCAAGAAGCTGCTATAATTGCACATCGCCAAGAGTAGTCCCAGGTGCTGGAATTCCCCTGGGAAACAACATGATCGAAATAAATAAGTCTCCAACAGCCACATACTTTTCCTATTCATGAACCGCATAATCCTGGCTCTGGAGGTAGAATTTAAGAAAATAATCACCCCCCCAAAGTTAAAAAATAAAAGCAAAACAAACAAAAAACCCCACACTTATTATATGAAAAGAGTATTTTGTATTTCTTTTTTTCTTTTTTGGTCTGTTTTGAGCCACACCCAGATGTGCTCAAAGATCACTCTTGGCGGGGGGATTGGGAGGTCTTATGGTGTGCTGGGAATCAAACCCAAGTCAGCCATGAGCAAGGTAAGCACCCTACCTGCTGTGCTATCTTTTTTTGCAGGGGGGTCACACCCAGCAATGCACAGGGGTTCCTCCTGGCTCTGCACTCAGGAATTACCCCTTTGCTATTGCTCCAGTCCCTGCTATGCTATCTTTAAAAAAAAAAAAAACAAATTTTTGAGGCAAGATCAAGTAGTAAGTAGCAGGCCTCAAGGGAGAGAAGAGACTGACTTGGTAAAGAGGTTGTCAGGGTGTTGGTGGTGAGGAGAGGAGGAGAGAACCAAAAAACTGTCTCCACAGTCAAAAAATTCCAAAGGTACTGGGGAGCACGAAGGACCAGGGAATTGGCTGGAGCAGCCTGGGTTACGCAGAGGCCTTCTTAGCACATTCCTGAGAATGAATGATGCAGAGCCATGAAAACCAGGAAAAAAATAGGGGCTAGAGTGATAGCACAGCAGGTAGGGCGTTTGCCTCCTAGCATCCCGTAGCGTCTCCCAAGCCATTCCTGAGTGCAGAGCCAGGAGTAATTCCTGGGTGTGGTCCTCCAAACAGACAAACAAAAAAAATAAATTCCCAGCAGTGATTAAAGTGACAGATGGGGGGGGGGGGGGGGAGGGAAACTAAAGGGGTTGGGGGGAGGGGTGAGTGGAGATGAGAAATTTGTAGAAGACTTTAAGATCTTTTCCTAGTTGCTCTTTTGATCCTGAGTGGGATGGTGAAGGGACACTAGCTTTTTCTATGTGGGGTTCTCTCCTGCCCCACCAGCGGTCAGCAGCCAGCTGGGTTCTGGAGCCCCACTCCCAGTTCTCATTCACTCCGACATTGCGAGGTCAGGTCAGCGGTGAGACAGTTAACCGAGCTCCCGCCCATGCCTCCCTGCCCCGGGGACTGCCTCCCTAAGCCCGGCAGGCTCTGGGCTCGGTTCAGAGCCCCGTCTCTAGACACTCAGACTCTTGCTTTAATAATAAGATTGTTTACCTGGCAGTGAGGTGCATCGCCTCTCAGCTTGCTCCTGAGAACGGAACCCCAGAGGGGAAAAACCAAGGCCAGGGTTGGCTGAGTGAGTCTCCAAGGTCAGAGTGGGTGGCAGAAGGTGGGATCGGCCCTCTCCCGGCACTCTCACCAACCAGGGAGGTGGTGGGCACTTCGGAGTCAGCTCCCTGCTGCCTGGTGGCAGAGCTGGGGTCCACCACCCCGTGTACAAAGAAGGGCATCCCCCTGCAGGCAGAGCCAAGTAACTGCCTCTCCCTCTGCCCTCTCCCTAGGGGGGGCTGGTATTTCCCCAGAGCCTCCACCCAGGCCTGGAAGAAGCCCCAGTGCATGCTTCTGGAAGGCCAGGAAGGGACAGACTCAGAGGAGAAGGACATCATTTTCTCGGAAGACCTGAACGAGGTCACCCTGGCTTTTGTGAAAGAGAATTCGGGGGTACAAAAAGAGCTTCAGAATGGCCAGCTGCAAGGCAAGAAGAAGAGGAAGAAAAAGAGGTTAGGATTGAAGGACAGCGCCTGGCGGGGGGGGGGGGGGGGGGGAGGGCCAGGACGTCTGTGTTGGTTGCAGCAGGAGGGACCTGGAGGGAAGGGGCTTGGCTAGGTAAGGAGAGGAGGTCAAAGGGGCCTGAGAAAATCTGGGTGGAGACAGTCAAGAGCCACCCCGCTAGGTTTCTAGAAGAATCTACTTGGCATGGTGTTTTATAGAACTAGATCGTGGGGAGGGGGTGTCATCGATAATCACCCTTTGCTCCAAATCTTTGTTCAATTAGTGTTTAGAGTATCTTGGAAAAAAAAAAGGGAAGGGGTGAAATGGGACGTGGGGAGAAATGATTTCCTTGTTTTAAGAGTGTGCTATTATCCTGGGAATTTCATGCCCTTTAAGTAAAATAGAAGCACTGAAGCTCACAGCTCTCTCAGGAGCCTCTGCATTCCTTTATTTTTTTTCCACATCCAGTGGTATGCAGGAGTTACTTCTGACTCAGTGCTCAGGGCTTGCTCCTGGCTCTGGGGGCCATGAGGTGTCAGTTATCCTTCATTGCAAAGCCTGTGCCAGTGCATTGGGCCCTCTCTCTCCAGCTCCCCGGTTTTTGTTGTTGTTGTTTTTAGGTTTGGGGGTCATACTTTGTGGTGCTCAGGGCTTGCTGCTGCCTCTGCACTCAGGAATCACTCCTGGCTGTGCTCAGGGGACTATACGGGGTGCCGGGGATGAGACCTGGGTCAGCCGCGTGCAAGGCAAGCGCCCTACCTGCTCTGCTGTACCATTCCTCCAGCCCCTGGTCTCCAGTTCTTGTTTAATGTTCCTTCCTTGCTTGCTCTGCTCTGAATCAGTCCTCATGCTGACCCATGTCCAAAATCTTGCCTAACTCAGCCTCCTTGAGTGAGGGGCAGGGGAAGAGACAGCACTGAGAATTTGGGCCGAAGCTTTAAATTCCCATCCAGGATAGGCCAGTGGGGAGAAAGGATAGAAGAGGTGAAGTGGCCAAGCAGAATTAGCCGCAACCGCCATGCCTCCTGCTGCTCCCTCCTGGGGTCTGAGTCCTCCCTAGGAGGGAGGATGGGCCCCGCTCGGGGCGGCAGGTTTCTGCAGCCCCACCGGGGACGGGGTGTTTCTGGAGACGCCTGCCCTGGCAGGTGCCTGTCTCTGTCTTGCTGCTTTCCTTCTTCTCTTTTCCAGATGATTGGTGATCAACCTATCCAACTGCCGCTATGAGAGTGGTAAGTAGCGTGTCAGGGGATCTGCATCAAGGGCGCCCCCCGCCCCCCCCCTCCGTGTTGCCTCCAGGCCTTGGGAAGGGTCACTTTAGTATCTTTTTTTCCTTTTTAATTTTCTTTTTTGAGCCACATCTGGTGATGCTCAGCAGTTCCACGGGTTACTCCTCTGCACTTCGGAATCACTCCTGGGGGTGCTTGGGGGACCCTCTGGGATGCTGGGGATCGAACCTGGTTAATCACGTGCAAGGCAAACACCTATCCGCTGTACTCTTTTTTTTTTTTTTAATTTGCTTTTTGGGTCACACCCAGTGATCCTCAGGGGTTGCTCCTGGCTCTGCACTCAGGAATTGCTCCTGGTGGTGCTTAGGAGACCATATGGGATGCTGGGAATCAAACCCAGGTTGGCCACAAGCAAGGCAAACACCCTACCCGCTGTGCTATCACTCTAGCCCCCTCCTCTGTATTCTTGCCCCACCCTCCTCATTTTAGACTCTTCTTTGGAGTGAAAGGGGCGTTTCTTGGTTTGTCTCCTTCCAGCCCACCTAGCTCTGTGAGGGTCAGAGAGATAAGACATGGGTAAGGTGCTAGCCTTGCACCCAGGTTCTGTCCCCCACCCACCCAGCCCCCAGCACTGCTGGGTATGTCCACAAAACAAACTAAACACAGATCTGCGGGAGCCTCATGCCTAGAAGGCCATGACCCAAACCATACACCAGAACTCTGGCTTTTCTCGTGAGCTCTGCGGAGGGACGGCCGGGAGCCGCTGCGGCTGGAGTTAGTGGCTCTTTGCAGCCCACACGGTGCGCGGGAGCCCCCACCCCGCCCCACAAGACCTGCCTGGTGCTATGGAGCGCAGTGCTGTCATTTGTCCACTCCTGAGTTTGAAGCTGCGCCGAGGTCTCTAACAGGCTTGGCTTCCTTCTTGGCGCTGGAAGGCCTATGGGTTTGCATCGGAGTCAGCTCTGGCCATAAAAAAAAAAAAACCCAACAGGGACAGGGCACGAGGGATGTGACAACATCTGTGGTGTTGAAATATCTTGTTTAATTTTCTTTTTCCTGTCAATGTCGCTCCCTAATTAAGCCTGACTCAGACTGATGTGAAGGCTTAGTTTATATTCCCTGAACATGCAAGAGCTGTGTTTGGCAGAGAGCCAGAGGCTGGCTACCAGGCCAGGGGAAGCCGAGGCGGACAGTTTATCTCTGATAAACCATAGGGATCACCAGGATCATGTTCTTTGTTTTGGGGGCCGGGCCGGTATAGATGGGGGTCTACTTCCCGACTCTGTGCTTTAGGGGATTGGACAGTGCTTGGGGATTGAATCCCGGCCTCCCGCATTGCCAAGCTGTGTGCTCAGCCCACGGAACCATCTCTCCAGCCCCTAGAATTGTGTTCTCCCGAAGCCCTCCAGGCACCCTTCCCCTTCCTTTTCTGGCAAGGGTGGACCACCTAGGGGCAAGATGACCTTCTGGTTCCAGGAAGCCAAGGTGTCTGGCCTCAGTGCTTGGGAACCCCTAGATACCTCCCCTCCACCTGCTCGCCCCGGCTCCCTGGGCTAAGCGCCTCTCTGGTTCCTCTGTGCAGTGCGGAGGGCGGCCCAGCAGTATGGCCTGCGGGAGGGCGGGGAAAACGATGACTGGACCCTCTACTGGACCGACTTCTCGGTGTCACTGGAGCGGGTGATGGAGATGAAAAGTTACCAGGTATCTGGGTTGCAGCTGGTACTCAGAATGTGTGTGGCATCAACTCCCCACCCTACAGTGTATGATTGTCCCCTGAGCGAGCTTCTGGGGTACCCCTCCCCCCTTCCCACCGTCATCACCAATTCTGCCTTCCCTCGCAGAAAATCAATCACTTCCCGGGGATGAATGAAATCTGCCGCAAGGACTTACTAGCCAGGAATATGAACCGCATGTTGAAGATGTTCCCGAAAGATTTCCACTTTTTCCCCAGGACCTGGTGTCTTCCTGTCGAGTGAGTGCCTGCCTGTGTGCTCCCTTCTCTCCTTACCATCCCAGTTTTTCCCTCCTGCCCTTGTTTCTGTGATTGCTACTTTCCCTTCCTCTCTGCACTCCCACCTACCTCCCTCTTTCCCCCCAACCTCAACTTGTTCTAGAGTTGAGAAACAAAGTGAGGTGACATTGAGGGGCTGGGATGTCTTGGGGTCTGTGCCAGCCTCTTGGGTCAGATTTGGTTCTGAAAGCTGTTGAGCATCAGTGCTTTGGAGGCCCCTCCCGGTAGTACCTGGAGACAGGGAGGGGCATGCGGTGTCAGAGCTACAGCCCAAGCTTCCAGCCTGCAAAGCAGGAATTTCAGCTCTTTGAGCTCTGCCTCCTGTCCCTACCTTTTAGCTATGCAGTTCCTGGATGGTGAAGGAGCGAGAGGCCCTGGAAGGAGTGAGATCATGGTTAGAGGCCAGGGCAGGAGAAGGAAGGGATGCCTGGTGTCTGTACCCTTACATCTGGATTCCCATTTTATCCATCTTAAAACTGGACATCCATCTTGGTGCATAAACTACACAGGACTATATGCCTTTAAAAGAGGTGTGACATGACAGAAACATGACCTGAGTCCAATCTGGTCGTGGCTATGGAGAGATGGAGGAGAAAGAAGTACTAGGAGTAAGGCACTTCCTGCTTTGATCCCTAGCACTGCAGGGTACCCTGAGCACCACTGGGAGTCACCCCTGTGCACAGAGCAGGGAGTAGGTTCCAGCAGTGTTGGATGTGCCCCTTTCAATAAAGATGAGGTCCAGGAGGATTGGAGGATCGTCATCAAAATTAGAGACCTGAGAGGTTCCTCCATCCTGTGCTTCCTGAATCCAAAGCTCAGGGGTTCCAGACTTTCCTGGCTTGTCCGGGACAATTTCCTGGGTATCAAAGCAATGTCAAAGGAAAGGTACATGCCACTGGGCTTCTCAGGTGCCTCTGACTTTCTGAATGATGAGGAACATTATGGACAATGGCTCCTCTGAATTAAAACACTGACTAGTGGCCTGGAGTGACATTACAGCAAGGAGGGTGCTTGCCTTGTACAGGGCCAACCAGAGCATTTTATATGATCCCCTGAGCACCCACTGGGTATGGCCCCCAAACAAGCAATCAACTAGTAGGATCAGAGCGATAGTTCAGCAGGTAGGATGCTTACCTTGCATGCAGTTAATCCAAGTTGGATCCCCAACACCCCATATGGTCGGTCCCCCAAGCCCTGCCAGGAGTGATTCCTGAGTGCAGAACTGGGAGTAAACCCTGAGCACCACTGTATGTGACCCCTCCCCCCAACAAAAATCAACTAGTGAGACAGAGAGATAGTATAGTGGGTAAGACCTTGCACAAGGCCCACCTGGGGTCCTATCCCTGGCCCTTCTTTCATATGGTCCCCCAAACCATGCCAGGAGTGATCCCTAAGCATAGAGCCAGGATAAACCCTGAGCACAGTTGGATGTGGAAAGAAGGCAAAATACAGTTCCTATTGATGAGTTCAAATAGGAACTATAGCCAGATGACTTACAATCATATTGTTTTCTTCTTCCGAATAATCTTTCTTTAAAGTACCCTCAGAAAGTAGACTATGGACTGAACATGATGGCCACTTAGTACCCATATTGCAAACCATAACACCCAAAGGAGAGAGAGAGTAAAAGGGAATGTGCCTGCCACAGAGGCGGGGCGGGGGTGATGGGAGAGGGTAGGAGGGATACTGGGAACATTGGTGGTGGAGAATGAGCACTGGTGGAGAGATGGGTACTTGATCATTGCATGACTGAAATGTAATCACGAAAGCTTGTAAGTCTGTAATTGTATCTCATGGAGATCCATTAAAATATTTTTTAAAAAATTAAAAAAAAAATAAAGTAGCCTCAGAGATAGTAGTGTCTGCTCTCTCACACTGGCTGCCCAGATTTCACCCTTTGCTGGAGCTCAGGCCAAGCCTCCAACTCCAGATCTTCCAACTGCAAACCCAGAAAACCAAACAACTGGCATCTTGCTACTTCTATCGGATATGCATGGAACCCCACCTTGCTGCCACAGTGTTGGGTGACTGACCACCATGCGAGGCAGGATGGAGGCACAGTGAGGTCACATCCTGACAAAGGGCCACAGAACTGGTAAATGGTATTGCCTGAAGAACAGTCAATACCTGAGGGCCAATGAGATAACTCAGTGGACAGAGACACATGCCAGGTGTGCACTGAGACCCAAGTCTGCACCATGCATAGCCCCGCATGGCCCCCAGAGCACTGTTGGCAGCCCCTGAAGGCCCCTGAGCACTACCAGGAGTATCCAGGAGGCCCCCATTGCTGCTGGGTCCAAACAGCACAGTCTGAACCATACAGTCCAAAGCACAAAGCATAGCCAAGCTGAGCAAGGAACTATCAGGTCTGGTTGGTTGTGTATCATTGGGAGTGGCCTAGGGGACCCCTGAGCACTGTTTGAGAGAACCCTCCCTCCCCAAAATAACCAGGACACAGATTCCTCCCCAACCCCCTGTATGTGTCGCTGTCTTCCCTTGCCATCCTCCCTGCCTCTATAAGTTTCACAGGTGCTGCTCCATTCGATGTTCTTTTTGTTGTGGTGGTGGTTTGGGGGGTACACCTGGCAGTGTTCAGGGCTTACTCCTGGCTCTGTGCTCAGGGTTCACTCCTGGCGGGGCTTAGGAGGGACGATGCAAGGTGAGCACCCCAGCCACTGAACCATTGCTCCAGCTTCCACCCTCTTTGTCGTTGTAAATGCCGCAGCTCTCTCCAGCTAAAGGTTTATCTTGTTCCCTCCCTTTCTGCTAGCTGGGGAGATCTGCAGAACTACAGCAGGTCCAGAAAAAGTAAGACCTACATTTGCAAGCCAGATTCAGGCTGCCAGGGGAGAGGTATCTTCATCACGCGGACAGTGAAAGAAATCAAACCGGGGGAAGACATGATCTGTCAGCTCTATATTTCAAAGGTACTTCCTCATCGCCGACAGTACCCCCAGCTCCAGCTATGCAGGGGCGGGATGCGATCTGAGGGCGCGAGGGCAGGGGACGGGAGGAGGCCCCCCCCCCCCCCCCCCGGCCCGAGTCCTGACTCCTGCCTCCCTCGGACTTTTGTCAGACCACACCTTCTCACCAGGGATGGGCCGGGTGCCCGGGCCAGAGTCCACCACCGTCATATTCTTGTCAGTTGCTCTGGCCCTACCTTACCTCTGACAGATGGCAATCGAGACAGCAACTGGGGCCTGTGGCGGCCCCACCTTATCCAGGAGTGGGGCATTCAGGAGAGAAAAGGGCAGTTGCTTTTCTCCTTGACTGGAGGTCAGAGGCCACAGCAGTCTAGCCTGGCGTTTCTCCACCTTTCCCCAATCCTGTAGTCTCTTTCCTGTAGTCTCCCTGTCCTACTGGCTGACCCACTAGTCTTGTGGCATGGCCTTTCCATTGATGAAATTTGGGAAATATCCTGGGGGCTGCCTTATGGCCCCCATTTTGAGAAACATTGATCAAGCCCAATGTAGGGAGACTTGGGGGTGGGGGGTAGGGGGAGCCTGCTAGTAAGCAGGTCAGCATTGTCGGGGGTGCGGAGGCCTCTTGCCAAATTGTGACGTTAGTGCTTCTGGAGAGGGACATGGCCTTCAACCAGGAGGGCACTCAGCCAGGCTGCTCTGAGCCCCCCAGGGATCAGGGAGCCAAGGGACAAGTGCTATATGACTTCTGCAAAGTCACATGGGGATCACCGAGCCCACACCCTGGCCATGCCTCAGCTCTGTGACAGCAGGCCCTGTGGGAGCTGCCCTCCACAGTGCCATGACTGGCCAGTGATGGGCAAGTGTGAGTTCTCCTGGATGCTTGTATGTGAATGTCTTCTCTTCCCCAGCCCTTCATCATCGATGGGTTCAAGTTTGACCTTCGAATTTACGTGCTGATGACCTCCTGTGACCCCCTCAGGATTTTTGTGTACAACGAGGGGCTGGCCCGCTTTGCCACGACCTCCTACTCCCACCCTTGCACAGACAACCTGGTGAGCTCAGGGGGCTCGTCCCCTGACCTTTGCAGGATGAAGACTAGCTGGATTCATCTTCTCCAGACTGGGGTTTGGGGACCCCATTCTGTGTTGAGTCGGATTGCATTTATTTTGTCATTGGACCCTCCCAAGAGCCCTCAGAAGTGGGGGTCAGTCCCTCCACTTGACTGGTGAAGAAATTAAACCCAGATCAAATAAAGGACTTGTCCCAGGCCACATAGCTAGAAAGAGGGAAGTCTGGGACTCAGCCAGGTTGGGGTTGCACCCCCCCCCATACTTCCAGTGACCCCTGCGGCCACCATCCAGTCAGGAGGAGCTGCAGGACACCCCTCCTGCTCCTGTTTTGCCAGCGGGAGCAGCCCTCTGACACCCCCTTTCTTTCCCTCGGTCAGCCTGGAGGCTGTGGAGGTTCTGAGCCAAGAAGGAGGTTTTGCCTTCCTCTGGGCCCACAGGCTTGTGTCTCTTTCCCCAGGATGATATCTGCATGCACCTGACCAATTATTCCATTAATAAGCACAGCTCCAATTTCATCCAAGATGACCACTCTGGCAGCAAGAGGTAAGGCTGTGGCTTCCCCTCACTTCCCAGTCCCCAACGCCTCAGCTGTCCCTGAGACACTGCCCCGGGGGATGCTATCTTGGGGCATGCGGTTCCACAAACTTATTTCTCTATGTCTGAACCCTGCGTCGTCTCTTTCATTTCTGCCTGCTGGCTGTTAATCATTAAAAGAAGGCCACATCGTAAACCCAAGGAGGTTGAAAGGAAGTGAGAGAAACGGACTGTTTCCCCAGCAGGACACACACACACACACACACACACACACATGCACAAACATGCACACACGCATACACACACCACATGCATGAACACACATCCCAAAGCAGACTTTTATTACAGTTGTGCCTTCCAACATCTCCAAACCAACATATTTACTGATCATGAGTCTGGCAGGAGAGAAGGCTGTGCCGAGTAGTTTGTTCCATGGCCTTTGTTTGGGGCAGGGGAGTGCCACACATGTTACTCTAATAGAGATTCTCAAACGATGTGTCACCCGGATCTGGTGTGCCATGTGACATGTGGCCCTGGGGCCAGAGTCCTTTCATCTTCCCCAGAAGGAGGCGACATGTGAAGCGTGCCCAGCCGTGACTCCCCATGTGATGCCTCTCCTCACGTTGCTGTCTAGCCTGTCCCACATGGATTTTAAGAGGGCGGGGGGAGTCAGGACTGGAGTGATAGCACAGTGGGGAGTGCATTTGCCTTGCATGTGGCCAACCCAGGTTCAAGCCCCAGAATCCCATATGGTTCCCTGAGCACCACCAGGAGTGATTCCTGAGTGCAGAGCCAAGAGGAACCTCTGAGCAGCATCACAGAGAATGACCCCAAAAGCCCAAGAAAAAGAAAAGAGAAGGGGGAAGTGAATGATGTGAATAGGACCAGCTGAAGGGGCAAGAGAGGGCTGGGGATGTGACTCAGAGGTCTGAGACATATGTCTTGCGTATGCAAGAACGTGAGTTTGATCCCTGTGTGCCTCATGTTCTTCTGAGCACTGCTGGGTAAAGCCATGGTGGTCTCCAGCACTGGATTTGAGCAGTGCCACATCTCAGGACCCAAGTGTTGATGCAACTGGCTTGGGACCCCTCAGCACTGCTTGGGTGCTCCCTTCACTAAAAAGGGAAAAAAAATGGTGGAGGGGAGGAAAAGCAGGAAGAGGCAGTTCTGGAGCTTCCTATTGGGGGTGGGGGTGAAGGAGCTGGTCTGGGTGCTTTTCTGTGTGTTTTTTCCTACTGAGTCTTCATAGCACATTGGCAAAGGCGGGATAACTGCCCTTAGTGAGTGAAGAGCTGGGAGGTGGGTGAGAAAGTTCATCTCTGAGAGGTCCGAGTTGGTTGCCCAAGGTCCTAGAGCTGGAGGCTGGCACTGGCCAAGACAACGGGACTTCCCAGGCTCTGCAGCCGCTATGCTTCCTCCTGCCTCAGGGACCCTCTGGCTTCAGGAAACCGTCCTCCCTCAGGGGCAGAGTTCCAGAGACCCAACGGAAACATGACTAGGACAAGCCCCCGAGGGGTTGTATTGGGCTGGGAGAAGACCATCTTGCCTTTTCAGAAGACACCAGCTGCCTTTCTGGGCCCCGACTCTCCCTCTTCCTCAACTGGCAGTGACTGGGGTGCGGGGACAACCCATCCCCTGCCTGTGGCCTGTTCATTGAGGCTCCGACTCTCGCTGATGAAGAAGCTCATCCAAGTCAGTGTCCCTGAGTCCCCAGCTCTTGGTCTGGAAAATGAGGGACGGACATGAGATACCCACCTGGGAGCTTCCTGGGAGACGTGCATGGCCATGCGGGAAACCCCTCAGTGTAAGGGCGTGGGGTCAGACGGCCCGTTTGCCTCCTCTTGAGAGAACTGAATACCTCAGCAGCAGGTGTTGGCAGTGGCAGAGTGAACATTGTGAGGCCCAGGGCGAGGGTGTGGGTGTGGCGTGTTCTTCAGACCTCCAGCTCCTCACCTCAGGCCTCTTCCTTCCTGGCGCCGCAGGCCTGGCTTCAGCACTCAACACTCTGTTCTCCCCAGACCTTCACCTCTAGCAGTTACTTGTTTCCTCACTAGTCTCTGCCTCTCTGAGTTCCTTCTGCCCAACTCCTGAATCTCTATCCTCTGCTGCACAGGATTGGCACATCTGGGTCAGCAGGGATGTCTCCCCCTCCAGAGAGGCACTGAATCCTAGGAGTGTGCTTCAGGTGTCCCCTGAACCAGACCCCAGAGTTCCTTCCTGCCTCACATCTGTGCCCACCGCCCTGCATCAGGTGCTGCTGCTTCACCTCTCTCAACCTCACTCTCTCGTCTTCGAAATACTGTATTAAAATGTTGACCCTCACAGGCCCACCTCACAGATAAGTTGTAAGGATCTTTTGAGATGATGTGTGTGACCAGACTTCACATATCTCTCACACGAGTATATATGATCCACCCAGAGCACATATGCTGTCGTATCATCATTCTGAATTCTCGTTGCTCTCATGCTCAGGTAACCAGTGTGCTCTTAGGTATCTCGAGCATTAAGTTCAAATACAACTGAAGCGCCACTAAACCAACAGTAACTTGATCAGACCCAATTTCCCACTATTATTACTATCACATGAAGAGCCAACTTTTAACTTCTTGAGCTCCTCTCTTGTTGAATGCCAAAGACTGTACTAAGCAATTTACATGACTCAATTCTCATAGCTTTACTACCACCATCACCAATACCAAGAGCCATCACCACCAATACCACCATTGCCATTGCCACCATTACCAGCACTTTCATCACTAGCAAGTAGGCATTACGATTATCATTCTGATTTTGGATTTTAGAAAACTAAAGTGCTTAAAGGTTCGGTGACTTGTCCAAGTTTCTGGAGATGGGAAGTAGTAGAGCTAGAATTCAAACCTCCCTCAGCCCTTTAGCTCCCAAAACTATTCCCCTAACCACTAGGCAGTGCTGCCTGGTCTATTTGCTTCTGGGTAGTGTACTAGGGCACTCTTGTTCACATTCACTGTACAGGTCTTCACATGCTTAGTTCCCACCAAAATCATGGAAGGACACCCTTGAAGGCCCTTCTTTTGTCTTTCTAAGCTTCCGTGTTGCCTTCTCCAATCTGTTTCTAGGTGTGGGTCCAGCCACCTAATCACTGCAGAGTAGGTGAGACCCATCTTCTCCATTCCATCTTCTCTAAGATGAGACAGTTGGGTTCTCTGTCCAGGAACCAGCCGTGAGATGGGAGTATCTTTCCACCTTTGTCCTTGTGAACTTCAGCCTCTGTGTGTGCTCTTTGCCCCGTGCATCTGCTGGTCATGTATGCCTGCTTGAGCTGTGACCCCTGGAGGGCTAGCTGGGGCCTGGGCCTTCCAGGAGCTTCTCATATTGCTGAGTTCTTCCTGCTCACCCTCCATTTCGTTTCTCCTTTTCCTCTTCCTCCTTCCCATCTTTCCTCCCGTTCCCTCCCCTTTGTTGTCATTGTTGTGATGTCCAGGGTCACACACTCAGCTCTGGTGCCCAGGCCTACTGGCTGCAGTGTGCCAGAGATTGTAGATTTGCTGTGGCTGCAACAGCAGTGCCAACGGGATCACGCTTGGCAATGTAGGGCAGTGCTAGCCTGTGAAAGACCCTTGGCCACCAAGCCACATCCATGGTCCTGGTCCCCTCCCCATCTTTTTTTTATCTTTTTGGGTCACACCCAGCAATGCTCAGGGGTTACTTCTGGCTCTGGAACCACTCCTGGTGGTGGTGCTCGGGGGACCATATGGGATGCTGGGGATTGAACCCGGGTCGGCCGTGTGCAAGGCAAATGCCTTAACTGCTGTACTATCGGTTCAGCCCCTCCTCCCCATCTTTTTTTTTTTTTTGCTTTTTTGGGTCACACCCGGCGATGCACAGGGGTTACTCCTGGCTCATGCACTCAGGAATTACTCCTAGCGGTGCTCAGGGGACCATGTGGGATGCTGGGAATAGAACCTGGATCAGCCACGTGCAAGGCAAACTCCCTACCAGCTGTGCCATTGCTCCAGTGCCTCCCCATCTTTTTAGACAGGAAATGCCCCTCCTGGCCACAGACCCAGTAAGAGCAAAGACCTGACCATAGGGAAGGAGACAGAAATGTGGGAACCCTGGCTGGCCTCTAGGTCAGAACAGGCTGCTCCTCATCTCTCAGGCACCTGGCACGAGGAGCCAATGGGCACGATGAATCATACATTGGCAGCCATGGTGCGGAGTTCATTGTGACATGCTGGCGCCGTTAAGAAAAGGTCAAGTCATATTGTGATATGAGAAGGTGAGGAAGACTGCAATCACCCTGAGAAAATTCATTTCCCATTGGGCAAGTGAAATACTTTTTTTTTCCCCCCACTCGAAAGGACTGATATCGAATGGTCTGGAAAATCCATTCATGCACAGCACTGATTCCCAGATTCCATTCCATTCCCTGCAAACGGTGGGGAGAATGAGACAATGTGTGTCTCGGGAGTCAGGGGCTGTTGCTTATTGTCTTCATGGAAATGCATCGTGACTTGTGTCCTGAGTGTGTTGTCTCCCCAAGTGGCCCTTAGGCTTTCCGTGACAGGGCAGCTCTTCCCTGCATTGACCGTCTGGTGCTGAGGTTGCTGAGCTGACTGGAGCTCATACACTTGATTGTGGACCTTGCACATTTGGTTGCAGTGTATAGGGGATACACTTGGTCATGTGTGTCAGGGTCCATCCCTGCAGCGCCACGGGGATTACAGTCCACCTAGTGGGCAGTGGCCGCACTTATGGCCTCAGGCGGGGAAGGCAGGTGCTGGGGCGCCCCCACCTGTTTGGACTCCAGTGACTTGGGTCCAGAGAGTTCTGTCACGTGCTTGCTGAGCGAGGTCTCTTGTCTTCTCATTCTCCTTATACTTTATTTCTTAGCGTCTTCTCCCATACTTATACTTTCCCTGTTTAGAAAGGTATGTCTCACAAGCAGTGTTCAGGGGTCCTGGTGGGGGCCACTCCTCGGAATACTAATCAGGCCGGATGGTTCAATGCTCAGAAGTATGATGCTATTTGGGTCTGGTGGTGCAGGGGGTCAGCAGAGTGGGGATCAAAGCAGACCTGTGCTCCCGCCTCTGAGCTCTCTCCTGGCCCTTCCCATGTGCTCTGCACCCAGGGCTTGGTGTCCGTCCTCACTGTTGCCTCTGGACCCTGCCAGATTCGCCCGGCTCATGGCGACTGCTATGTCTCCTGAAAAATTCCCTGTCTGAGGCATATCCTCTATCCCTGGAGAGGATGGCCAGCTAATCCATCTCCCAGGAAGGGGCACTTTCAGTCCCAAGACTAGAATTGGGGTTTGCTTGGGTCACTGGGTAGTCCTGCCTGTGCAAATGACCTGGGGCTACCATTTCCCTTTGGACATCTCCCAAGCAAGATTTTTGTGGTTTGGATATCTCCAGAATTCCCTTTGAGAACTGATGTGGGAGCCTGGCGTTGATGATCTTAAAAGGCTTCTCCCCTCTTAAAAGGGCTCCCCAAGTGCTTTCAATGAACACCAGAGGTTGAAAAACCATCACCAAAGTACAAACAAGCTAGAAGATAATGGGTTTTTATTTACTTGTTATGTTCTGCATCAGATCTCCAATCCCTGCCCCAGCCCGCGGGGGTTTCCTGGATCTCAGGTGGAGTAGCCAGCTCCTCCAGGTCTCTGGGGGCAGGGGTGTGACCCTGTGGCTGCCCTTCTGTGAAGGCACCCTGACTGCCGGCCGTCCACTGCCACCGATTCTGACGGCGCACGGTGACCAGGGGTAGGCCGCCGGCCTCACGGGTTGTGGTTCCCTTCCAGAAAGCTCTCCACCTTCAACACATTCATGGAGGACCATGGCTACGACGTGAAGCAGATCTGGAGAGACATCGAGGACGTCATTATCAAGACCATCATCTCAGCCCACCCCATCATCAAGCACAACTACCACACCTGCTTCCCCAACCACACGCTCCACAGCGCCTGCTTCGAGATCCTGGGCTTTGATATTTTGTTGGACCACAAGCTCAAGCCCTGGCTGCTGGAGGTAGGGAGGGTTGGGCACGGGCACGCGGCGAACCCTGTTCCTGGGCTCCACCAGCTCCAGACACGTCCCTCCAGCCTGTCAGCAGAGCTGGACTGTTTCTTCACCCACTTCTTCCAGCACCACTTCCTGCCCCGGCTTCTCCCTGTGCCTAGCAGTGGCCACCAGAGGGGGGTAGATGGCCGGGAATCAGAGCTCCTGGTGCTCGCCCGAGTCCCTCAGGCCAGGAAGGAAGGCCCACACAAGCGCTGCCTTTCGTGAACAGAGGCGTCTCCCAGGAAGTGGGTAGGCTTCCTCAAACCAGACTGGCGGCTTGGCACGTCTCTCAGAGACTTGGACCGCTCGGTCTCAAGTACCAGCAGTTCACAGCCCCGGGAAGGGGTGGGGAGCCCTGGGTCCATTTCCAGCCTTCCCCAGACCCAGGGGGTGATGACAGGAAGACGAGGACAAGCCTCAGGGTGGTGGCTTCTCAGACCCGTTGGAGGGGGCCTCTGCAGCCTCTTACGAGAGCCATTCAGATGACGCATCCCGAGGAGCGAGGCTCTGCCTGGGCGGCTGGGTGGGGTGAAGTGGGGCAAAGTGGGGTGGGCTATGGCGCAACTGCTGAGGACGTGGGGTCAGACTTCAGTGGGGAGAGGGGGTGGAAGCCACAATCCCAGATTGGCTTCCTGGGGCTTTGCTGTTCCCTCCATCCCCAGCCCTTGTTCCCAGAGGGATGCTATTTGGAAACAAAGTGGACGAAGCCTTCAGAAACTTCTGGAAGCAGGGCCCGAGCAATACTATAGTGGGTAGGGTGCTTGCCTTGCATGCAGGCAGCCTGGGTTTGAGTCTCCCATATGGTTCCCCAAGCCTGCCAGGAGTGAGCCCTGAGTGCAGAGCCAGGAGTAAGCCGTGAGCACAGTTTGGGGGTGGCCCCCCAAACCAAAACAGCACAAAGAAGAAACTGCACCTGGTGTCCTAGAAGCGTCTAGGGAACCCCGGGTGCTCCGGACATCAGGGGCTTTTCTGTGAACAGGAATGAATCTCTTCCCTTCCCACACGCAGCTTCCCCGCTGCGCCCCAAGACAGGACCCTGAACGCCCTACCCTCTCTATCCCCCAGTTCCCAAGAACCCCCTTCATTGCTCTGTGGGTGGCACACACATCAGCTGGTGGGGGAGCTAAGGAAGTGCCCCTACCCCACGCCCCTGCCCCTGGTGTCACAAGGAAAGAAGACCGAAGATAAGCTCGGACAGGGTGCCACTTCCCTTTCCTTCACCTTGACTTCAGCCCTCCCCCATCCTCCCTCTGGCTCACTGCGGTAGCCAGGACCCCAGGGTGGCTTTGGGCAGCTTCCCGGAAGTGGCCTCTTGGCCTCCTGCCCTCAGCTCCCCTCTTGCTTTCTCAGGTCAATCACTCCCCCAGCTTCTCCACTGACTCCTGGCTGGACAAGGAGGTGAAGGACAGTCTACTCTACGACACCTTGGTCCTCATCAACCTGGGCAGCTGTGACAAAAAGAAAGTGTTGGAGGTGGAGCGTCAGCGGGGGCGGTACCTACAGCAGTGCCGGTCTCGGGAGATCAGGTACACGCGAGGTCTCCCCGCAGCTCCCCATGGCCCCTGTACCAGCTTCAGGAAGATGGGACCATAGGACCTGCGTCATCACTGACAGTTGGCTAGTGACGTGGCCCAGTTGTCAATGATGAACACTCAGCTTCTCTCTGTCAGATGGAGCTGACATGCGGGTGAGCCCCCCACCCAGGAGTGATCCCCGAGCACAGAGCCAGGAGTAAGTAAGTCCTGAGCACAGGCAGGTGCAACTTTAACCTTTTTTTTTTTTTAAATCACATCCGGTTTACTCCTGTCTCTGCACTCAGGAATTACTCCTGGCAGTGCTCAGGGGACCATATGGGATGCTGGGACTCGAACCCAGCTTGGCCACGTTCAAGGCAAATGACCTACCCGCTGTGCTATCATTCCCACCCCTAGGTGCAGCTTTAAAACCAATGCATAAACAAATAAGATGGGAGGCTCTTACAGACATAACTTTACATATAATCTTTTTTTTATTTTTCAGTTTTTCGGGCCATGCCTGTATGCTTGGGGACTACTCCCAGCTTTGTGCTCAGATTTTGCTCCCAGTGGTTCCTGGGGCACCATATATGAGACAGGGCATTGAAGTTAGACCTTCAGGGTTGAAGCCTGTGCCCCAGCCGGTGAGCAAGCTCCAACCTCACGAGTTTATCAATAGCACACACGAACACTCTGGAATTACCAACAGAAAAAAGTACCACATTGGGGGCCACAGCGATAGTAACAGCAGGTAGGGAATTTGGCTTGCACACGGCCAATCACGTTCAAGCCTTGGCTTCCTGTACAGTCGCCTGAACACCACCAGGAATAATTCCTGAGTGAAAAGCCAGAAGTAACCCCTGAGCACTTTGAGATGTGGCCCAAAAAGAAAAAAAAAAGTACAACCTTTGCTTGTTTTGTTTTGTTTTGTGGCCAGACCCAGCACTCAGGGGATGCTCCTAGCTCAGTGCTTGGGAGTTACTCATGGAGCTGCTCGGGGACCATGCAGTGTTGGGGACAGAACCCAAACAGCAAACGCTCAGTTTCTTGGGCCTCATCCCTTTACTTTAGCAAAAAGGAAGGTTCGTCTTGTCCTCACCCCTCCCTCGCCCCCTCTCATGTCGGCTGAAGACAGCGTCTCCCCTCCCTGCAATTGTTTGGGGTTTTTTGGTGGAATGCCATGGTAGAACCAGGGCCTCGCAAAGCAACAACCGGGTCCAGCAGCTGCCTCCCTCCAGCAGGGGCCAGTTGTGTGGAGGAAGTGCAGTGCCCGCCACCATGGGGCAGAGCCAGCCCCTCCCTGTCACTGAGCCTCTGGAATGGGGGTGGCTGTGTGTCTGTCAGGAGGTGCAGCCCCCTCCCCAGACCCTTAAGGCCCACGTAGGGTGGGGTGCACGAGCCCTAGGGGCTCCTAATACTGGGGCCGACAAGACCAAGGCTGTCAGGAGAGTTGACCTGCCTGAGGTCACCTTGCTGCTGAGTCACCTGCCTGACCCCTGTGCCCAGGACAGCAGGGCCGCCCCTCTCCCGACAGGGCCCCAGTGGCCTTGGTGCCCTCCCGCTGGACTTCCCTGCCCCATAAGAGGGCTTTCTATGCCTCCTTCCTTGACTTCCACCTCCCTGGGGGGCTGTGAGGAAGAATGACGTCATTACACCTCAGAACCTCTCCACAGGTCACCCGAGACCTCCCCAACCCCCACCCCCAGTTAACCAAATCCAAGCTCTGTTCTCCAGAGAAGCTTAAATGGGGGCTGGTCTCCCCGCAGAGAATGGATTTTACTTGAGGACTCGGGGAGCCTTCAGAGACATTCATCACACACACACACACACACACACACACACACACACACACACACACACTCAGGACCTTATGAACTGGCCCAAGAGGGCTGTCAGGAAGCTGCCATGTTCGTTTGGCCCAACATTTCTCAACTGGGGGCCTTGTGTTTCCCTTGGAAGCCCCCCAGGATATTCCAGGGAGGCCATTAGTGAATATCTTATAAATGGGGAATCTACAGAACAAAACCAGGTGCCAACCACTAGGGCAGGGGGCCCAGGAAAGGGCCACAGTGGTAGTAAGGGTTGAGAAACACTGATTTATCCCATACTGAGAGACTCCTGCTGAGGACAGGGCCCTCCGGTAGCCCCAAATGCCATCCGGCCTGGCCCTGTCCCTCCCAAGAAAACCCAATGGCCCTTCCCGGCTCTCTTCCCGGCAGGATGGAGGAAGTGAAGAGTTTCCAGGCTGTGCAGCTCGAGAAGACGGAGAAGTACGAGAGGGAGCACTGTGGCGGCTTCCGCCTCATCTACCCCGGCCAGAATTCGGAAAACTACAAGAACTTTTTCCAGGACAATAACTCCCTCTTCCAGAACACGATTGCTTCCAGGGCTCGGGAGCTGTACGCCCGGTAGGAAGATTCCAGGGGTGAGGGGTGAGGGGCTGAGATGGACTGGGGTTGTGGGGGACGGGTTAGAGCAGACACACTCTGCGTGGGGACCTGGGCTTTGGTCTCACCAGATCCAGAAACAGTCTGATTCTCTGGTAGGGAATGTGTGACTGCTTTTAGAAACTTAGCTCAAGACAGACCCCCACCCCAACCCCTCTCAGAGCCACCTCCCAGATTCATGCAGGGGTGAAGTCGTGGGTGAGAGAAGAAGAAGCATGCACGGCGTGCTCGGCAGGGCCCAGGTCCCAGCCTCTGGATGACTCTTCTGTTGCCACTGACTTGCCAGCCAGAAAGGCCTGGTGTGGGAAGCCATCGAACCTGACCCCCCCTCCCCCAATGCCGTCCTCTGCCCACACACACCCTCTGCCTTGTACCTGCCCACTTGGAAGAGGGAGAGGAGGGAAGTGGAGGGGATCACCTTCCTGTGCAGCATCTTCTTGGCATGCTGGTCCCCAACTGGGAACGGTGAGGTTTAAAGAAATGGTGTCCTCTGCCTCCTGCCCCATGGCTTTGAATCCTGTGTGGACTAAGGTGCCCTCTGCCTCTTTGGAGAGTCTTGTTTGCAAAGAGGAGACTCCAGCAGTGTTCAGGGCTGACTCCTGGTTCTGCACTCAGGGGTCACACCTGGCATTTCTCCGGGGACCGGGATGGCAGAGATGGGATGGCAGGGATCAAATCCGGGTCCACTGTGTGGCCCTTGTCGCTGTCCTCTCTCTCTCTCTCTCTCTCTCTCTCTCTCTCTCTCTCTCTCTCTCTCTCTCTCTCTCCTGACCCTTGCTTCGCCCAGGCTCAGCCGGCTGGCATGCACAGTTGCCTCTAACCTCCCCCATCGTGCCCTGTTCCTCCCCACCAGGCAACTGATCCAGGAGCTGAAGCTCAAACAGCAGAAGCAGTCGTTCCGGAGGAAAGAGAAGAAGGTGGAGGCCCAGGGTGAATCTGCAGGCGAGCAGGTGCGAGGCAAGAGCTCCGGGAGCTGGCGGCGCAAACCGCAGCAGAAATACAAGACCATCTCGGGTGCTTCCAAACAAGTAAACGGAGACGGGAGGGGAGCCCGCCCGCCCGGCACCCTTCCCCGACTGGGGCCCCTCCGTGGGGGGGTGCCGAGGAGACCCCTGCTCAGAGCCCAGACCCACTGAAGGAGCTGGGCTGCTTGCCGGGTAGGCCCACGGGCGGGTCCCTCCGTCCAGGCAGAGGGACTGCTCTCGGGTCTGTCCTGGTCGCCTTCATCCAGAGTGGAAGCAGCCGGGAGGCGGGGCCCTCCCACACCCCCACTCTGAGAAGTGGGCTTCCACCTGTGCTCTCATGGCCCCCCAGCAGGCCACGGGCACCACTGAGAGAGGAGCCTCGGAGGAAGCAGGATCCTCTAACACTGTACGGGGCTGGCTTCTTCCTTCCGGACCGCTCTGCTCCAGGGCGGCTGTTCTGGATCTCAGTCTTTGGGTGCCTCCTCCTCTGCCTACCTCTCTCTCCTCACTCTGGAGCAATCTGGTTGACTACGTTCCTCTCCTTTGCCTCGAAAACAGACCTTCCGAAGGGCCAGGCTTAGATTCTTACATGGTTAGACCATAGTCTGTCTCAGAACCTGATAAAGCACAGCCACAGACAAGTTCTCCAGCTGCGTTTCTAGGTGCTCATAGACCCCCCTGAGACCATCCACGAGCCTTGTAGGGGATCCTGGGATCCTGGGCTCACAGCCCCTGATTAGAGGGGCTTTGCTCGCTGTCATTTGTCTTTCTCTCCTCCTCTCCTTTGCGCCCACCTTTGGGTGTGCCGACTCTGGGTGTGGCCCCAGGTTGGCTGCCCACAGACTGTGTTTGGTTCTCTCCAGCCGCTGACGCTCATGCCCTGCACACCCGATATGGCCTCGGGTGTCAAAGACAAAGACAGAAGTGACACCACTGGCAGTCTCAGCCCGGAGGCCCCCGCAGGGCAGGCTGGTCCTGCTCCCCATACACCCCCATCTTTGAGGCCTTGCAGCTATATTCCCAGCCAGACGAATTCAAGCCTTCTCAGCGTGGGCTCCAGCCCAGCCTCAGTGGGGACCACCCTCACCAGCGCGTCGGTAAGTGAAGAGGTCCCCAGTGTGGTCTGGGGCCTGGAGCACCAAGCTCAGTGGGCATGGATGGGAAGCCATGTGATCCCTGCTTAACCCAGATTGCTCCTTGGCCCTTTGGATAGGTCCCTTAGGCTTTACATAAACTTCTTTTCTTTCTTTATCTTCTTTTTAAAATTTTTCTTAATTTTTTTTTTTTGGTGGGGGACCACAACCCAGCAATGCTCAGTGGTTACTCCGGGCTCTGCATTCACGAATCACTCCTAGCAGTGCTCGGAGCACCTTAAGGGATGCTGGGAATCGAACTCAGTCAGCCACATGCAAGGCAAGTGCCCTACCCACTGCACTATCTCCCCAGCCCTTTTTTTAAAATGTTGAAAGTGAAGTTATGTAGTTCTATTGAGGGGAGGATACTAATTCTAAGGATAATATGGCATTCTTCAGAGAAAGAGAGAGAAGAAAGGCCAAAAGGTTTAGGAGGGGGCTGGAGTGTGCCCACCAGTGCTCCAACGCCACCTGAAATACCCTCTGGCCATTCCTCCCACCCACCCATCCACCCACAGTAACCACCTTGGCATCCCCTGAGTCTCAGAGAGAGTTGATAGTTTTTGTTTGTGGTTTTGCCTTTTTGGGTCATACCCGGCAGTGCTCAGGGATTTCTCCTGTCTCTGTACTCAGAAATAACTCCTGGTGGTGCTTGGGGGACCATATGGGATGCTGAGGATTGAACCCAGGTTGGCAGGATGCAAGGCAAACTCCCTCCTCACTGTACTACTGCATCGGCCTGAGTTTGTAGGTTTTTTGGTTTTTGTAGGTTTTATGACTTTTTTTTTTTTTTGCTTTTTTTGGGTCACACCCAGTGGTGCTCAGGGATTACTCCTGGTTCTGTCCACAGGAATTACTCTTGACTGTGCTTAGGGGACCATATGGGATGCCAGGAATCAATAACTGGGTTGGCCACATACAAGGCAAATGCCCTACATGCTACACTATTGCTCTGGCCTGAGTTTGCAGTTTTTTGACAGCTTATTTGATTGAGCTATTTATAGTTCACACATGGTCACATGACCCTTTATTTTATTTGGGGGGGGGGACACACCCAGCAGTGCTTAGGGCTTATTCCTGACTCTGTGCTCAGGGATCATTCCTGGCAGTTCAAGGGACCATATGGATGCTGGGAATCAAACCCAGGTCAGCCATATGCATGGCAACCTCCTTACCCGTGATACTATCTCTCCAGCACCTAAAGTCGCATTCTGAGTTTGTGGGTATACATGAATTTGAGGACGACCACTTTGAATCCAGCACGTCATCTAAACAGTGTTTCTTTGTAAAGAAAAAAAAGTAAAACCCTTTTATATCCTTCTTGTAGACTTATTTATTTTTATAAATTTATGCAAACATAAGACCGGAGATAAAAATCTTTGTCCTTACAGTCCTGATGCAACTACAAGACCAAACCAAAACAGTGCCCATAAAATTCCCGTGAATAATATTGATTTAGTGGACAGTGAATTTCTGTCCTGCAAGACCTGAGGTGCCCCGTGCATATGGTTCTGACAGGTACAACCCAGGTGTGTAGTTTGCATCTCTGGGTCTGTGTGATGATTCTACCATAACTACTGAAACATTCAGCATCGTGGCCTGAGTGCAATATTGAGAAATGCAATGCTTCTCCAGTTTTTAACCACACTCCACAGCAAGAAAATCCATTTTATTTCCCAGCCCACTATATTCCACACACCCCAGGGAAAAAAAGGTTTCTGAAACAATGTTAGCTATACCACATACAGTGACTCATTGAATATTTCTATTTTGTATTACTCTCTTCTATTCTTTTAAAAATACCAGTTACAACCCACTAAAACTAATTTTCTTTAAAGATTTAAAAAATAATAATTTTCTGATCTACTAACGGGCTTATAACAAGGGTTTTGCTGTACATGTTGAAGATATTGTCCTTGAGAGCTTCTTGACCTTGGATTTGGCAGAGATTTTTCCCACCACACCAAAAGCAAATGCAAACACTTGGTACCACATCAGATTTACACTACCTGTGGGAGAAGAAGTGTTTACAAACCAGAGAGCGGATAAGGAGTTAATGTCAAGAAGATATTAAACATTCTTACACTTCAACCACAAAAAGACAGCCCAATTACAAAATGTACAAAGGATTTGAATACATATTTCTCCCAAATAAAATAATCCCATCACTAAAAGCCCAATACCGCATGACTCCATTTATACGAAATATGGGAAATATGGAGAGTGACTATACTCTTAAGGGAAGAGATTGAAATGGTGATTGCCAAACTGCACGGGTGTGTGTGTATGTGTGTGTGTGTGTGTGTGTGAACACAAGAGTATTTTGATGGGCTTAACGTTTCAGTTTTGCAAGATGAAAAACTTTTAGAGATAGGCTGTACAACAATGTGTGTATGATTACCACTTCTGCACTGCCAGCTTGGAAATAGCCGGGGCCAGGGTTAGTACCAGAAGTAATGCGTTTGCCTTGCACAAGGCCAACCCCAGTTGGATCCGGTACTGCATGGGATCCCTGAATATGGTGCCATATGCGTACGGTGCCACAAGGAGTGATCCCTGCACACAGAGTCAGGAGTGAGCCCTGAGCACTGCTGGGTGTGCCCCCTTCAAAAAAATTTGGTATAGATGGTAAGCTTTATCATTATCTTTCGTTGATTTCCTTTTATTTTGTGTGTGTGTGTGTGTGTGTGTGTGTGTGTGTGTGTGTGGTGGGGCATACCTGGCGGCGCTCAGACCTTACCCCTGGGTCTGCACTCAAAGTGGGCTTGGGGTGCTGGGGAATCGAACCTGGGTTGGTCATGTGCAAGGCAAGCCCTTACCCACTGTACTCTGGCTCCATGTAGTGCTTTTCTTTAAAAACTAGCAAATAAAAACTTTATCTGTGCGACAGAGACTGCTTTGGGAGTCTGACTGCCTTTGTTTGGGCCCTGGATTTTCCTTTTATTATATCTAACAAGGTGTGGCCCAACCTCTTCTCCCCCCAAATGAATTAATTTGTTAATTTAGATTTGAAAAAGAAAGTGGACTGGGATGATAATTGGAACTGGGGTAAATTGCAACAAACTTTAAGGAGAACTAGAGTCATTAATAACAGCGCATGCATCAGCCCAGCTTTCCCTGGGAAGGATGACTCCTTCCTCTGACCTTTAGCTGCTTTCGGGCCCTGATGCTGGTTCTGTTACCAGCTAGGAGTTCATGGAGATGTGGCCCTGAGAAACTGGGAAAAAAAGAGGAGGAGGAGAAGAAGGAAGCATACTTGTGTCAATGATTATGTTGTTGAAATAAAATTATTGAAATAAAATACTTCTATTGTTAATATAATAATTATCCCTACTTCAAGTTAATAATGTACAGCTTTAATTATAATGAAAACCATCATTACAGAGTGCTGGAGAGAGATAGTAAAGAGGGCGGGGTACTTGCCTTGCATGCGGCTGATACAGGTTTGATTCCCAGCACCCCATATGGTTCCTTGAGACCACCAGAACTAATCCCTGAACACAATGCTGGGAGTAATCCCTGAGCACAACAGGGTGTGACCCAAATCTCACTCCCAAAGTGAAAATTGTTATAAAAATTATATTTGAGGGACCAGAGTGATAGTACATGGGGTAGGGCACTTTCCTTGCATGTGGTACCCCATATGGTCCCCAGAGCCTGCCAGGAGTGACTCCTGAGTGCAGAGCCAGGAGTAAGCCCTGAGCACGGCCGGATGTGGTCCCTAAACAAACAGATCAAATGAACCTAAACTACAGGATTTCTCCCTGGAGCTCTGTCTGCTCCCCAGATCTCACTTGAGTGATTGAGGTTGCCTAAATTCAGGGGATGGAATATCAGAAGAAAAAAAATTATCAGCTCACTGCTGATGTGCTAGTACTTTGATTTCTCATCTTCTTCCTAAAACGACCTGTTATTGTTGAACTTGGAGAGTTCTCAAGCAGTTATTTCATGCATGCATTCAGTACTTAATATGGTACAGGCTTATAAAGTATGGAGGTAGGCAGGCTGGGAAATGGTGGGATGGATTATGTTTTTGTGTTTTAGTCACACCTGGTGGTACTCAAGGGCTTCTCCCTGCTCTGAGCTTGGGAATTGCTCCCAGTGGTGCTCAGGGAAGCATGTGGTATCTAGGAATCAAGCCCTGGGCCCCTTTTGGGCTTTTTCCCTGGCCTGGATGAATAATACTTTCTTGATCTCACCAAGAATCAGAACAAAACTACTATCCTTCCTCATCATTTACATTTTAAAAATCATTCTTCTGATGTCCCCTGTAGCTAAATAATACCCTTCCTTTACTGGCTGATAAAATAATTTGTTTTCTGGGTCAGAGAAATGTTACAGGGGTTATAGCACTTGTCTTGCCCATGGCCAACCCCAATTTGATCTACAGGACCCCAGAATACTGGGACCCACTGGAGTGATCCCTGAGGACAGAGTCAGAAGTAAATCCTGAACACCACCAGGTGTGGCCCAATAATACACACAAAAATGCTTATTTGGTTTATTTTTTATCTTGATATCTCATTGTGGGTATATGCATTTTATTAAAAAGTCAGCTTGAGAGTACAGGAGGTAAGGCCCCTGACTCGTATGCAGCTAACCCTGGTTAAAATCCCTTGTACCACATTTGATCCCCTGAGCACTCCCAGGGGTTGGTCCTGAACACAGAGACAGGAATGTTCCTTGAGCACTTCTGGGTGTGAAAAAGAGAGGGGCAGCTTAAGATTTTGTTATTTTTTTCCATGATTTATTTTAAATGTCATTGATTCCCACTTTTTAAAAAAAAATCATTACTTCTTTCCTTTCTCCTAGCTTTTTACCCCCCGTTACACCCAGCAATGTTCAGGGGTTATTCTTGACTCTGCACTCAGGTATTACTCCTCATGGTGCTCAGGGAACCATATGGGAGGTTGGAGATAGAACTGGGGTCAGGGACATGCAAGGCAAGCACCCTACCTGCTGTACAAGCACTCCAGCCCCCTTTCTTCTAGTTTTAAGTTGAGTTACATCACCTTTACCTAGTTTCTTAGAGTAGAACTATTAAGACTTCCTTTTTGACTTTTTTTTGGGTGGGGGCTCACACCTGTCAGTACTCAGAGGACTGTATGGGATGCTGGGGATCAACCTGGGTTGGTCATGTGCAAGGCAATCACCCTACACTCTGTATGATGGCTTCAGCCTCCTAAGACTTTCTTTCTAAGCGTTAAGTGCTATAAATTTCCCTGCAAATACTATTTTATTTGAATGTCATAAAACTTGATTTGCTCGAGCAGGCCCAGTAACGTCTCCATTGGAGACTTTGTTGTTACTGTGTTTGGCATACCGAATACTCTCAGTAGCTTGCCGGGCTCTCTGAGAGGGGCGGAGGAATCGAACTCGGGTCGGTCATGTTGGCCGCTTGTAAGGCGAACGCCCTACTGCTGTGCTATCGCTATGTTGCATTTTTATTATCCCTTTGATTTTGATACATTTTATGATTTTCCTTGCTATTTTTTTTATCCATGGGTTATCTAAAAGTGTTTAAGTCTTTTTATTTGTTTGGTTTTTGTTTTTGGGTCACATCTGTGATGCTTAGAGCTAATTCCAGGCTTAGATTCTGTTTTGTTTGATGTTAATATAGCCATTCTTCTGGGCAGGTTAAGCATTGGCAAAGTATATCTTTAAAAGAAACTTACAGGCTTGCTCTCTGAAGCCCATGTTCTTCCTTGAACACTGTCTTTGCTGGTTCTTTCCACTCTGCAGAAACCCACATTCTCTCTTGAACACTCCCTCTCTCTCCGCCTCATGTCCTTTCAGGTAAATTTCATTCAATAGAAACATTTTGCTTCACAAAATAAATAGAAAGAAAGAAATTTACATTCAATTAATTTTCCCCATTATATATCAAGAATACTTCTTTTGGGGCCACACCCTGAGGTGCTAAAGGGCTATTCCTGGCTCTGTCCTCAGGACTGACTCCTGGTGGTGCTCAAGGGACCATATGCTATGTGGAGAGTCTAATGGCTGCATGCAACCATATTACCTTATGATTTCTCTCAGGTACTCAAGGACATATTTTAAAGGCCATCATCAATAAGGCAATCAATTTTTTGGTGGGGAAGGGGGAGGCCTTTTGAGTCACACCCATCAATGCTCAGGGGTCATTACTTAGACTCTGCACTAAGGAATTACTCCTGGAGGTGCTCGGGGGACCATATGGGATGCTGGGGATCAACCCCGGCCAGCCGCATGCAAGGCAAACACCCTATACACTGTATTATAACTGCTGTGATACTCTCTGCTTTCTTTCTTCTCTTCCAAACAATGTGCAGGGGACTCAGGAACACTCTAGCAATAATTAAAAGCTTCTTGGGGCACTTCTAGCATAGTGCTGGGTGGGGGCCATGTGGTACTAGGGATCAAGCTTGAGACCTCTGCTCAGCGGCCAGTGCTCCAGCTCCCAGTCATCTCCCAGCCCCAACCTCTGCCTTTTAATTGAAGTGTTGATTCTGCTTTCATTGAAATATTAATGTAAGTGAATGTAGGATTAGAATTTTGTTGTTTTCATTTTTTTTCTTTTTTTTCTTTGTTCTTCTCTACCTTCTCTTGGGTTAATTGAAAATTGGAACTGATTTCCTCCCTCTCTAATTTTTCAGTTCTAACCTTTTGAAATTTTTTTTAGTGACTGTTCTAGGGATTGCAGTATATGGCTTTAGTATGTCAGAATCTACTTAGAGATAATGTATTACTGTATATAATATGTGTGTATGTATGATTGAACGCAAAGCCTCATATGTGTGAAGTATGTGCTCTACCACTGGCCCATTGTACTCAATTTTAAATATGGAAAATATATTCCCTCTTCTGAACTAACATATATAATGTTATAAATTTTGTTTTAAATAGTCATAGTTTGTATAGAATATATCAAATTTTTATGTTAATTTATGATAATACACGCACATAAATAATTATCTTCTAATGTTATTTCTCTTAAGCCTGAAAAACAACCCTTGGTATTTATTATAGCGTACATATATCTTCTGATAATGAATTTTCTGTTTTCATTTTCTGAAAATGTCTTTGGCCTTGATTTTGAAAGGTATTTTTATTGGACTTAGAATCTAAAAAATGTTCTTCTATTGTCTTCTTTTTGAGTGAATAATCAGTCACATTAATTATATCTCCCTCTGTCTGTCAGGTTTCACTTTTCTCTGGTGTATCCATCGAAATTTCTGCAGACTCACTCTTGAACACAGTGCCGGGTGTGGTCCAAATTCTCCTCCAAAATATTTTTCCTGCCTTATTTTTCTCCTTTCTATTTCCCATTAGATCTCTATGGCTATTCTAGGTACCTCCTATAGGTAGACTCATACCATATTTGTCCTTTGTGTCTGACATATTTTACTTAGTATGATGTTTTTAAAGTTCATTTATGTTGTAGCACTATTATATTTTCCTTCCTTTTTAAGTCTGGATAATATTGCATTGTATGTATCTGCCACATTTTGTGTAATTGTTCTATTGTGGACATCTGGGTTGTGTCCACCTTTTGCCTACTGAGAACATTGGTGTACATAAAGTTTAAGGACCTCCCTAATAACTTATTTAGTACATATACCTAAGAATAAAATTGCGGGGCAGGTGAGATAATACAGCAGGTAAGGCACTTGCCTTGCTCAGGCCAACCTGGGTTCAACCCCCAGCATCCAATATGGTCCCCCAAGCACCACCAGGAGTGATTCCCGAGTTCAAAGTCAGGAGAAACCCCTGACTTTGGGACCACACCTGACAGTGCTCAGGATTTACCCCTGAGCATTGCCAGTGTGACCCAGAAGCCAAAAAGCAAACCAAAAACAAAAATTGCTGGGTCATAGGGCATTTGCAATATTATTTTCCCAGCATCATTTCTAGACCAGAATGACTCTTCCAGTCTTCATTCGCATCAGCGATGCACGAGAATCCCTGTACCAATACTGAATCCAGCTCTTTCATTTTGCTAGTCTAGTCACTGTGAAATAATACCTGTTTCTCTGATGACCTATCTCTGGTGTCTCAAACCTCAGGTTTGGAGCCAGAGAGATAGTACAATGGGTAGAATGCTAACTTTGTATGCAGCCAACCCTGGTTCAATCCCTGGCACCACAGATAGTCCCCACCTCCATGCCCTGCCAAGAATGGTCCCTGGGTGCAGAGGTGGGAGTAAGCCCAGAGGACTGCCAGATGTGGCCCCCAAACCAAACCAAAACCAAATCCCCAAACCTCAATTTTTGGTCTGTTTTGGGACCAAACCTGACAGTGCTCAGGACTTACCCCTGGCTCTTAATTTAGAGATAACTCCTGGAGGGCTTTGGGGACATAACAGGTGCGAGGGATTAAACCCATTGGTTGACTATGTGCAAGGTAAGCACACTTCCTGCTGTACCACTGCTCTGGCCCCATCAAAATCTCACGTTTAAAAACCTCCAGAGATAACCTTTCTTTAGCAGTACTGCAAACCACAGTGCCTATAAGGGAAAGAAGAAAAAGGAAAAAGTGCCTGTCATAGAGGCAAGCTGAGGGGCGAGAGGGAAACTAGGGACACTGGTGGAGGAACTGGTGCTTGAACGTTATACGCCTGAAACTATCATTGAATAACTTTGTGGCTTTGTAATTCAAGGTGATTCAATAAATAATAAATAAATAAAGCCATCCTCATGGACAACTAAAAATAAACAAGTCAACAAATAACTTGTGTATTAGAGGATGTTCAATGGACCATGACCTCCTCCTGCCTTAGAATTGAACCAGCTTTTGGTTAGGTAGGAAACTACGCTGGTAGGGAATAGGGATCCCTGACACATGGTGGCAGTGTCTCAGGGGTCGTCACATCCTTGGTTGTGGATCAGGGAGTTTTGATGACAGGGTTCCTGGGATCACATTTGGCATGTGGGGTGGTGCTGGGGATCATACTCAAAACTTCATCCCTGTAAGCCAGCTGGTCTTCCACAGAGCGCTATCCCTGGCTTCCCCAAACTCAGATTTTGGTTTGTTTTCTTAGGTTGTGGGGACCAGAGCAGGTGGTGCTCAATCAGTTATGGTGCAGGGAGCTACTAGGGCCACACCTGGAAGTGCTGGAGGCGGGGAGGGGGCGGGGAGAAAATGTGCAGTGCCAGAGATTGAAATTCAGAGCCTTGGAGCCAAAGAAGTAGTACAGAGAGGTTAAGGTGCTTAACTTTGCATCACCTGGAGTCTCCTGAACTCCAGTTTGAGTCTCCCACACCATATATCATCCCCTGAGCACTGCTAATGATCACTCATGAACACAGAGCCAGGAGTAGACCCTGAGCACTTCTGGGTGTGTTGCAAATATTCCAAAAATAGAGAAAAGAAATTCAGGGCCTTGCACACGTACAGCTTGGACTCTGCTCCCATCCCATTAATCTGTTTTCATCAAGAATGGCGTGGGAGAGAGGGGCATGCAGAGAGATGGTATAGTGGGTAGGGCACTTGCCTTGCATGTGGTCAATGTGGGTTAGATCCCCGACACCCCATCTGGTCTCCTGAGCCCCATCAGGAAGGATGCCTGAGTGCAGAGCCAGGAGTAAGCCCTGAACACAGGCAGCCATGGCCCTAATTTTTTTAAAGGCATAGGAAGCAGAGCTTTGTTTTCCACACTCATTTGGACAATTTTCTCTTCCAGTCCTTAACTTCAGTAGAAGCTTTCCCAGAACTTGCCAGGCAGGGCTCGGGCTCCTCTGACTCTCTGAGGAGTCTGACCATCACCAGCAGCTCTGAATGCAGCAGCCCGGAGACATGCAGATCTGCCTCCTTCAAATGCAAGGGGCAGCACCTCAGCCAGCCGAAAATACTTCCCGTTGCTCCACGTTTCCAACCCCGGAGCCGCTTGGGTTGTTGGAAGCAGGGCTGGATCTCTGTGTCGAAGGACAAGCAGCCGCAATGTCTGACATCCAGTCTGTCCCCCAAGATTCCAGTGAGGGAGAATTGGTTCTCTGGGATCCCAGCTCACAACCCAAATCCAGTGCTGGGCAACCAGTCACGTGAGTGCCAGTGTGGAAGGGGATGAGTACCCAGGACTTCAGGGATGGAGGGACTGGCAAGACCCACCCCAGCCACAGGGGAGAGGGACTCCAGAAACCCCTGTCTGATGGTTGGAGACATAGTCCATCTCCTTAGCAAATCTCTGGTCTCACTAGGAGGACAAAAAAGTGAAAAAATAGGGCATTGAGGCCTGGCAGTAGCAGAGGCATATGCCTGGGTGGAAGCATGGGGACATGCCTTCTCAAAGCCCCAACGAACACCACACTCCCCCACCCTGCATGGTTAGGTGTTGCCCTGGAGGGGGGAGCCCAAAAATTGACAGGTTGGCCCTGGTGGTTCCGTGGCACCCGAGGGCCTGAGCAGCTCTACAGAACTGGCCCGAACATTGAACTGTCTGGCCCAGCTGGCCAAGTATTCCTGGGAGTGGCCCCAAAGGCCCCCTTGGAAGCCATCCCAACCCCTCAAGAAACAGAAGCCTGGCCTAAGTGTACTGTTGCCCCCATTTCCCCAGCTCTCCTTCAGATGAGCCCCACCCACCCATCAGTCCAAACCAGGTGGGAAAGCAGGGCAGGGAAGTGGAGGGGCACAAGAGCAGATACTGACTTGCAGCTTCCGCTGGTTGGGGGGAGGTGGCCTTCCCCTGAGATTTGTGCCCAGGGCAACTGCGCATACTCACACTGCCCCTTCTGCCTTTCCAGAAATGCCCCTCATGCCCCACGAGCACCACCCCTGCAGCAGAAGCTCTGGCGAGAAGAGACAGGGGCTCACGTACCCCTTGCAAGACTCTCCCAGCCCCGAGGTGTCCATGAAGGAACTGCTGGTGGTGGCCAGGCAAGCCCGCCTGGCCCCGAGGCCGAGCAAGAACTCCGTGGGCACCCTGAGGACCCTGTACCTGGATGGCCAGAAGACATGTGGCCATTGCCTGGTCTCCAGCCAGAAAGGACACAAGAGGAACTAGGTAGGCATGGTGACCCTCTGTTCCCCAGATGCGCCCAGCATGGAGGCAGTCCCCAGTTTCACACACGCAGCATGACACATGCGTGTGTCTAAGTCGTTGGCATCCGGGGTTGGGAGGTGGATGGAGGAATCGACATGGGCGCACAGGTAAGTAAACAAGAGAGAGGACCTTGGGACGTGGTGCAGCTTTCTTCCATTTCCATTTCTGCTCTGATGCCCATCTTGGCTGTTGGCCTGGGTTACCACTGAATGTCAGACTGGAGACACTCAGAAATGCCCCTCCCAGGGGCTGGAGTGATAGTACGGCAGGGAGGGCATTTGCCTTGCATGCGGCTGACCTGGGTTCGATTCCCAGCATCCCATATGGTCCCCTGAGCACCGCCAGGAGTAATTCTTGAGTGCATGAGCCAGGAGTAACCCCTGTGCATCGCCAGGTGTGACCCAAAAAGCAAAAAAAAAAAAAGTGGGAGCAGTGCACAACTCAGGGCCAACAGCCTCTCTTTTCAGCTGTACTGGCCTAACTAAGTCCTGGTCACTTGCCGCCCAAGCAGTGCAGTGAGGAGGTGGAATGTGGTGGGAACAGAGTGGTGGGACCTGGGCCAAGTGGAAGCAAAGACTTCTGAGTGGCTTTGATCCACTGTGTGGAATGCACAGGTCAAGGCTAGAAGCCACAATGCTTGAGAAGGAGTGTGAGTGGACCCCCCCCCCCCGCCCCCGCAAGACTCCATCCACACACACACCAAAATGCCTTGGGGTCACAGAGGGTTGGGATTGCCTGGATGACTTTGGAAGAAGGTCATCCATTCCATCTCATTTCATTCCATTCTTTATTTTGATTTTGAGTCCGCACCCCACAGTGTTCAGGGCTTACTCCCGACTCTGTGCTCAGGGCTTCCTATCTCCCTAGCCCACCCAACACTGAAATTTTAAGTAAGCGTATAGCTACTTATTAATTGCTATTTATGTTCATACTCTTTAAAATGAAAAAGGAGCCAGCGCAATAGTACAGCAGGTAGGGTACTTGCCTTACAAATGGCATACCTGGATTCAATCCTCAGCACCTGTATAAGAAATAAGGAAGGAAGGAAGGAGCAGAGGTTTGAGTCATATACTAGTGAGTGACTTTCTTACTGAGAATGCTAATAGCACCATCACATATCAAGTTTCCACCCCACAGCCCACAGACTCCCCAGCTTGATGCTGGAGGTTGGCAAGATAGACATTCTTTATCCCCAGTCTGCACAAAAAGGTCTGAGGACATTCAACGGCTTGTCCAACCTCAAACAAGTGATGGACTTGGGGACAAATAGCCTGTGTTTCTCCCTTTAACCAAGGTTTAGAGAGGATGAGTCTTGCCCAAGAGCAGAGAGTGAGGGCCTCCTAAACATGTGTCCCCTACCACATTTCATCTCTGAGCTTATTGCTCATACAACACCCATAACAATTGCTTAGGCTGCAAATGAGGCAGGAAGTTGCACTATGGCATCATCAAGTTTCTGATGACTCTGGATGTTAATGACCCGAGTACCTCCTGACCTCTAGATAATGATAATGAGTTAATGGTGGTGAAGGGTTCATTGACTTTACTCTCCTAGAGGTCACTTCAGAGGAAAAGTCTAAGGAAAAGTCTCCCTCTCTTTTTTTTCCAGAATCAGACTGGATTGCTGCCGATCCTTTCCTTTCCATCCCATATTTCCTAGGAAATGATTGTCTCTTCCTGCAGTGTCTACAGTATTCATGGAATCAACAGAATATTTTGTCTTCTCATCTAGACTGGTCTTATAACTACCTCCCATTAGCACCACCGAGGCCAACAGTCCTGCCTTTTGTGCCCTCCCTGTTAGCATTCAGCGCTGTAGGACCAAGGTTGCTGGGAGATATTAGTACTGCCCTGCCCTGGGACATACCCAACTGTCCCACCAGTGGCATTTTTATGGGTCTCTCATGTGGCACCACCATCCAAAGAATTCCCCACAGGTAAGCAACATGAGGGTCAGAATGTTTCTGAGATGGACTCACAATGTCCAGGATTGCAAGGCCTTCCGTCCACCAACAGGCCTGTGTCAATGGGTCCAGTGGCAAAGATAAAAGAGTGGAGTGCTCTGAACTTGAGCAAGAAAATCAGGGCACCTGACCCCTCACAGGTCGAGACCAGACTTCCTCCCATCCCAGCAACCTCGGTGCCCAAACAATTTTCAGCTACCTCCCTTACCATCCTAACTCTGTCTTGCTGGTGAAGTCAGAGGCGAGGTAAGAATACCCAGCTGGCAGGGTATTCTTCAATCAACCCCAAGAAATAATACACCTTACCTTCAAATGTACACAAATAAGTATGAAATAAATTACCATGTTCAAAGCTGATGAGTCAGATCCAATGTGAGAACGAGAGCGGGGAAGTGGGAGCAAACACCCTTCCTGAAAAGATCCCAGAAAAAGTCCCAATTGCCTTTGAAAACAAATTCTTTTTTTTTTCTTTTTCACAAATTAAACTCCTCGCTGTTAGTCTGTGGCCAAAGGTAGCCCTGGAGCAGTCTCAAGCCTGTCTAGACTTTAGGCTACCATCTCACTTGGTCTGCCAGTTCATTTACCACCCTCCAGGACAAGTGCCGAGATTTCTTCTTCCCTTGCTTATCCCTCATAACAGCCCTGGTATGAATTTTGGGAGCAGAAGATGGCGCTGGGAGAAGGGTAGGGCCTGAAGACAAGCAAGCAATCTGCTTCACAAAGTTGACTCAGTTTTGCCATATGACATCCCCAATGGGATGGATTTCTGGCCTCAAAGGTATCAGGGGATTTCAGGATATGTGAAAGCTAGAATACCCATCAGGCAAAAGACTTTCATTTGCTAAGCTATCCAGTAGGAAAGTTAGATTCAAGCCATTTTCATCCAGCTGTAAATCATACATACACAGCACCTCAGGCCTGGTTTTCAAGGTCTGATAATCTGATATAGGGCTTTTTAATTTATTTTTTTGTTTATCTTTTACAAGTAAGATAAGAATTACCTGGTTGGGAGAAGGAGTCTCTATTACCACAGTCCAGAGTAGTAAATGATTAAGCATCACCTCAACCTTCCCTTCCCCTACCCCCAACCCTTTCTAGATGCCATTCAGAAGGGTCAAGATTGGGGCTGGGGATGGAGCCCAATGATCGAGCATAGGCTTTGATACCCGAGGCCCTGGATCCACTCTGATGCCCAGTTCCCCTCTCCAACACCCAAAATATTGACTTAAAGTTGACCCAGGTCAAGGCAAATTTTCCCATTATGTTTCACATGTTTGGCACAAGCACAAGACGGGACTCTTGGGGCAATAAGGTAAGAATAGAGAGTAGACAGAGTAAGCACTTGAGTTGCATTCAGCCAACCCTGCTTCAATCCCTGGCACAGCACGGGGTCCTCAGAGCCTGCCAGGACTGATCCCTGAGCACGACTGGGGCAGAGTACATCACAACAGAAAAAATATAAATAACAAATGAAAACAAACTGTACAATATATAAACTGAAATGGGCCTCCTGTAAGCCTATACCTTTCCCCTTTTTCTCCTTAGTCACCAGCTCCCAGCCGGTCAAGATTCCTGATGAAAGTTTCTTAATAAAGTGAAGCCAGTTATTTGTCTTTCTAAGGGACAATTTGGGAGCATTACCTTGAATCCTAGAGATAGTATCCTTTCCATGAGCATAAAATCTGTCCCACACAGGGTCCCATAGTTAGAAGGCCACTGGCCTGAGTTTTTAGGTACAGTTGTCTATCTTGAAAACCAAAATCACTGTGGAACCAAGAGCTCTGCATTTTCACTTTACACTGGGCCAGGGACTAGTTCAGGGTTAGCCTGTGAAAAGGCAAAATGGTGGCTTCCTAGCCTTGCCCCATTCCTATTTCTCCTGAAGAAGGCTTGGAGTAGGGGAGTGAAAAAGGCTTTTCAGCAGCCCTGTCCCCTTTGCAGTGAGGAGAGAGGGGTCCACAGCTAGCCAGGCTAAGTTCAGCTCTCTGGGAGAGAGGTGTCAGTGGATAAGAAGGAAATTCCTTTACATGCAACTAGGACAATCAAGTCCACTTCATAGGAGAAGATATAAGATGATGTAGCAAACAAAGGAAAATTTGGATTTTTTTAGTGAAAATGAGGGGGATGGAGCAATAGTACAGTGTGTAGGGTGTTTGCCTTACATGTGGTCAACCTGGGTTCAATACCTGGCATCCCATATGGTCCCCTGAGCACCACCAGGAGTCTGAGTGCAGAGACAGGAGTCACCCTTGAGCATTGCCGGGAGTGACCCAAACGCAAAAAAAAAAAAACCAAACAAAGCAAAAACCCCTGAAAATAGGGTGTGAGTGCAATAGTACAGCAGAAAGGGGATTTGCTTTGCATATCACCTACCTGGGTTTGATTCAAGGCACTCCATATGGTCCCTGAGCCCTCAAGCCCTCAGTGAGTCCCTGATTCCTGAGCGTAGAGATAAGAGTAAAATCTGAGCACCACTGGGTGTGGCCCCCAACCAAAAAGGTAGAAATAAAGTCTGAGACAATGGACAGACTTAATTTATTTATCTATTGTTTCCTGGGAGTGGGGTCAGCTTGTGAGTCTGGGTACATATCTCCACTCAATGGCATCTCTTTTTTGCTTTTCTTGGGGGTCACATTCGGCGATACACAGGGCTTACTTCTGGTTTGGCACTCAGGAATTACTCCTGGCGGTGCTCTGGGAACCATATGGGATGCTGGGAATCGAATCCGGGTCGGCCGTGTGCAAGGCAAATGCCTTACCTGCTGTGCTATTGCTCCAGCCCAGCACCATCTTTCTATGCCCTGCTTTTAAGCAGTTCCTTGGCATATTCAGTAAAGGCTTGAATCATCTCGAACTGGGTATATTGTCCTAAATGTCTAGCCCCAAGATTATCTGGACAGATTAAAAGATAAGGATTTCCATTCCTGGGGACAAAATTTGTTTCTGAGGTAGGGAAGGTAATAGAAGGTTCTCTCAGGGAGTTGTGATGTGACCTTTGGGAGTCCCTTAACTGACTTGCCCCATACTGGACAGTGGACCACACTTCACCTACCCCCAAGAGGCCTGAGAGAGGAAAATTTCAGATTCTAGTTTTCCTCTTACCCTTGGCAAGGAGAGAGTCAGGCCAACCGGCAGCTGCTCGAAGTGTTCCTCTCCACACAAACTGGCTGATTACATGAACTGAACATAATCATTCACAACCCTTGATTTTACAGCTGGCGTGTCACTTAGCTTAATTACAGCACACAGTGGTATTTCAACTCAAGGAATCTAAAAAGCAATAAAATGGGTTTTGTAAATTGTTGGGAAGGCAATGAAGACCTCAGAACTGCAATTGACTAAGCATTCCTTTAAATTATTTTGCATTCTCCAGCCACCAACTTGAAGTGATTAATGAGCAGCCTGATTTGCAATACAAGCAGGCACCAGGGTTCCGGGAGGTGTTGTGTGTCTCCTGCTCGTCCACTGTGTGCTGCCAAGGGGCACCAAGGCTTTAGGCACTGCCCTGGTGTGGCCCGAGTCTTTGCCACCAGTATTTGCTCATCATTCTTCAAGCCAGGCCACTCCTGGCTCATGGAGACTGATCTGGGATGATTATGAGCAAATTACACCCCTCCGCCTTCCTCTTTACATCCCAAACATCTATCATCTCTGGAAAGCACAAGAAAAGAAATTTGGGGAAATGGAACAAGTTCTTTAGAGATCTAAATTATTTAATAAATAAAATTCATTAAAAGATGTAAATCTGAGCTTGAGTGATAGTACAGTGGGTAAGACGTTTGCCTTGCCAGTGGCCAACCTGGGTTCAATCCCCAGCATCCTATATGGTATTCCAGAAATGCCAGGATTAATTCCTGAGTGCAAAGTCATAAGAAACCCCTGAGTGTTACCTCAAAGTATAAAAAATAAATTTAAATTTTCTACACTCTCTGCTAAAATTATTTTGCTACCTTATTTCATGGTTCTTAATTCTTAGGAAGGTACTTCTTGGAGAACTATTTTATTTTAGCAGTGTCAGAGACTCAACTCAGCATCACCCATGCAAGGTTGGCCCCCAACCTCTGGGCTCTATCCCCAGCCCCTTGGGTAACCATTTTTTTTGGAGTCACACCTGGTGGAGCTCAGGTCTTATTTCTGCCTCTTTTCTCAGGAATCACCCCTAGAGATACTCTGGGGACCATAGGACCATAGTGGGGATTAAACTGGGCTCAGCCATGAGCAAGACAATTGCCTTACCTGCTGCACTATATTAACTCTTCAGCCCCTGGACATTTTAAAGGGCAAGACTGTGGTAACCCCCAACCCACCACCACCCTGCTTTCCCAAGTCTAGGAGCTTAGGGATGCTCATGGAAAGGGACTCCAGCCAATGGAGAAAGGGGCAGAAGCAGCCGGAATTTGGAGGGGTGACACTGAGACAGAGTCCCCTTGTCCTGAGCAGCGTTGGTCAGCAGAAAGCAGCTGCCTTACCAGTTGTGCAGGGTGGGAGAGCAAACAGCAAAATCCTGTTGGCAAACCCAGCAGGGCCATAACAGTGTGGCCAAAGCAAACTCCAGTGCCCTCTCATTCCCCCTTGGATCTGGCCTTGGCCGAAGATGTGAGGGAGCCAGCTAAGCTCACAGGTCAAAGCATCAGGCAGCCAATGGCAGGGCTCAGACTGACTTATCCAAGGGCTTGGGCCCCATCTGGATTCCTTCTCTCCTTGCCCTGGTGCCCTTTCCATTTGGCACAGGCAACAGACTGATGGGGATAAAAATATTTTTTTCTTCATGTATGTTACTTTGTTCTTCAACTGCTGTCCTGTGAGATCAGTTTATTTCCAACTGGCAGAGAAAAACTGAGGCCAGGGGCAGTGAAAGACATGGTCTTGGGGCTGGAGCGATGGTACAGCAGGTAGGGCATTTGCCTTGCAAGTGGCCAACCTGGGTTCAATCCCTGGCATCCCATATGGTTCCTCGAGCAAAGCCAGGAGTAATTCCTGAGTGCAGAGCTAGGAGTAACCCCTGAGCATTGCTGAGTGTGACCCAAATCTGGCAGGTGGGGCTACCACACCAAAATAGAACTTGAATATTCTTTTTCTTTTGGGGGGAGGGGAGTCACACCCAGGCAGCAGTGTTCAGGGCTTACTCCTGACTGTGCTCAGGAATCACTCCTATGGGTACTCAGGGAACCATATGGAATGCTGTGGATCAAACCTGGATCAGCTGCATGCAAGCAAGTACCCTACCCACTGTATTACTGCTCTGACCCCTCAGATCTTCTCTTTCCATACAATAGTAGCTGA